ACCTTCCATAAAAAACGTTTGGGGGGTACTATTTCTTTGACATTTTATAGCTGATTTGCAACTATAGTAGCTCGATAACTATGTCAATGTTTTGGATTTTGAGTGAGCTAAGACTCTTCGAATGAATTTTGGCTTTGTCTGCAAGTCAATTACAACTATAATCTTCCTTCTTAAATCGACTTTGTAGAATCCAAGTGCCTTGTGATCCGTTTGTGCAACTAGTACTTAAACTAAATAACCCCTAATCATAAATTCTTGAACATTATGGAGTTTGTCGAAGTCTAAACATAGTGATAGCGATACAGATGTGATCTTAGGGTTCTAATTTGAAACTTGTCATTAAATAAAGATTTCTAGACCTTTCTCAAGGGCGGATCCAACATTTTCGTTCAGTTAGGGCGGAGACCGTTGATAGGTGACCGACGATCGTTGACTGATCAACGATGGTAATAGCTGAAAATAAAATTCAATACATAATTAAATGCACTAAAATGTAAAAAGTATATACATNACCTTCCATAAAAAACGTTTGGGGGTACTATTTCTTTGACATTTTATAGCTGATTTGCAACTATAGTAGCTCATAACTATGTCAATGTTTTGGATTTTGAGTGAGCTAAGACTCTTCGAATGAATTTTGGCTTTGTCTACAAGTCAATTACGACTATAATCTTCCTTCTCAAATCGACTTTGTAGAATCCAAGTGCCTAGTGATCCGTTTGTGCAACTAGTACTTAAACTAAATAACCCCTAATCATAAATTCTTGAACATTATGGAGTTTGTCAAAGTCTAAACATAGTGATAGTGATACAGATGTGATCTTAGGGTTCTAATTTGAAACTTGTCATTAAATAAAGATTTCTAGACCTTTCTCAGGGGCGGATCCAGCATTTTCGTTCAGTTAGGGCGGAGACCGTTGATAGGTGACCGACGATCGTTGACTGATCAACGATCATAATAGCTGAAAATAAAATTCAATACATAAGTAAATGCACTAAAATGTAAAAAGTATATACATATGAAAATATAATTCAATACAACCCAAAATACTAAAAAAGAAAAAAAAACCTACTCTGTAACAGTAAACTTAGACAACTGCATTCTACGAGATCTCATATTTTGAAAACGTTGCAATATTGCCTCATTCTCAAATTTGATAAAAATATCTTTTTCCATGTAAGCCTCAAATTGTTATTCAACCAGTCATCTTCAATTTTGTTGCGCAAGTCACTTTTGATTAGATTCATAGTAGAAAATACCCTTTCAACAGTTGCAGTATCCACAAGTAATATCAAACTCAAGGTGATCAACCTATAAATCAATGGAAAATAACAGTAACTTTCGGTTCCAACCA